CGGGTGGCGGCGAGTTTTATAGAAAATGATTCAGCTGCTGTAATCGGGGCCATCGCAGCTGGGAAATCCAGCCCCTGGCGAGGAATCCCCTGGCTCCCTGCCCACGCTGCCGGCGCCGCGGCCCTCCCCGGGGTGGGGATGCTGGCGTGGGCACCCCCTTGCTACGGCCATCCGGGAGCGGGGCTCCCCAGGGTGCAGCACCGGGGGGAGGGGGGTGGTAATGACCTAGTTTGGGACACACGTACGAGGAGCGATAGCATCGAGGAGAGCATGAGCAGGCAAGGCTTCCTCTCGGGGAGGAAATCGCCTGCTCTGCGAGGCAGATAAACGCCAGGGAAGTCAATGCCAGCAATGTTAACCCTCCCGCACCCGGCTGCTGGAGCCTCTCCTGGCTGCCTTCCTCAAAGGCAGGAACACCAGCACTGCTGCTGGCCCATGTGCCTGAATCCCTCATCCCTGTCCCTGGAGGTGGGGGGACATGGTGGTGGCGGGTGGTTGAAGCTCCCCCTCCCTGGCCCTGCTGGCCAGCCTCGTGGCACCCTTTTCAGAACACACAAGGGACACCCAACAGTGGCCCCTGGGTACAGTGGGTGGCACGGTGGCCACAGGGCCCGCAGGAAGCCGCTTGCTTGGGTGTGGCAGGGGAAGCACGGTGCAGGGGCTGCTGTGGGACATCCCTGGCTCTGGGGTCATGCACCCACATAGCTCCTGAACATAGGGCTGTGGCTCCAGCCATCCTGCCCAGCACAGGCACCAGGGTCCACATAGCACTGAGCTGGGCTCGGCTCCAACTCGGAGAGCCAGAACAGTGAGGACCTGATGCATGGCTCCTGGACACCCAGCTGCCTGCAACCCTGCCCTCTTCCTGCCCACAGGTGATTCTGGCAACGCTGTGGCTGGCAGCAAGTGAATCACCACCCCTGGGGTGCCAGAATTGCACCGGGCTCCTGGGGCATTGGGTCCCTGTGCGACCACCCAGCCGCCCACGGAGGGTCACCACCAGACACCCCTGCCCTGCTGGCATGAACTGGATTGAGAGGGCTCACCAGTGCTGCAAGCAGTGTCCTGCAGGTAAGAGCCAGCCAGGCAGTACGTCCTGGCATGGTACAGTGCGCTTTGGCACCCCTGGGCATGTGCTCCCTGTTACCCCACTGTTCTCCCAGGGACGTTCCTGAGCAGACCCTGCTCAAACCACAGCAACGATAGTGCCTGTACCCCCTGCCCCCCCGGCACCTTCCGCGCCCAGCCCAACACCTTCACCGAGTGCCAGGCTTGTTACGAGTGTGACCGCCAAGGTGAGCCAGTGGTGTGCCATGCCAGGCTGTGCCACTCTGCATGGTGCTGTGCCGTGCTGTGCCACTCTGCA